ATACCCTTCTTTGTATCAATGAGAATTACCCTTGTTCTATTGTAACAATGTTGAATGTTCGTCATTAGAAACTTGTGTAGTGCAGGAAAAAGAAAAGCTGGAATAGAAATAGTTTATTTTATTTCATCACGAACTCACTAAAAATGTTTGCTTTATAGGATGGTAGGCACCGTTTTCAGCAGAGGACAGAGATCATTTAGGTCAAAATGTTGATTGGGGGTTTTGATGCAGATGGTATAGGTAGTGTTGTACCTGATGGTGATGCTTATTAATATTCTAGAGTGTTGTTATTTTTTAGATGAGATGGAATGCCTATAACTTGTGAATTTAATAGTTGAAGCGATCCGTCTGATATTGTGTGTTTGCCTGTATAAAGAGTTTTTGCATTGTATTGATATTATTAATATTGTATCTTTGTTATTACTTTGTAGAAGAGATCAATTGGAGTTTTCATTTTTCCCATTGCATTCGTGCTCATTAGGTATGGATGGCCAGTGCTTTATGAGTTAGAATATTCAGAAATAGTATTACTTTAGAGAGTGCTCTTTGATTGCTTCTAGCTTTAATTGAATTTATAAAATTGGCAGCTGTAGTAAGAGTGCATTGAAATGCATTCTTGAAAATTTCATGAGGAATTACTGCATTAGAATATGCTACATATCTCATATTTTTTTGTCTGCTTTGTAGTTAATTCTCTCTGTGTATACTTCTTAACGATAATGATACTGCTCTACAAGTCAAATTTGACAGATAAATATTTTAGAATTATGGTATCATATTGGTACCTACATACAATTAAATGAAAATATGACCCTCAAATAGGATGCAAGGAGAAAAGGATTCATGTAGTCGATCCACTTAGTGCGATAAAGGCTTGTTATTGTTGTGGTATCATATTGGTGAGTATTGTGTGTTAGAAGGCATTTTTATTGTTGTGAAGAATGCTGAAGTTTCAAGCAATTTTAGCACAATTAAGAATAATATGATTTTTTTTTTGAAAAACTCCAAATTGGGAAAGCACACCAGGATAAATTCTTGTTCCCAAGATTTGATGGTAGTTAAAATTGTCATGGAAGTATCCCTCCAGGCAGCTATATGGATTTCAGTACAACATGCATATTAGAAGTTCATGAAGGCATCATCGGATTGGCCACAATTACAATAGAAGCGTACAAAGGCATGGTGGATTACGTCTCCAGATTGTCTCTAGACTGCAAGATAGCAACATCTCTCAATAGTGTCAACATGTACTAATTTTTGTCTCTTGCTAAAATATTGATCATCATATGGTTTGTAGATTATTGTGACAAGGTAAGCTTTTGCCTCAGTTGTTGTGATGAGATCTACGAACGAAGAGCGTAACGGGCAAAATGATTGTCATTGTCAAAATAGAGTCGGAGATATGTGTTAGACCGGCGCTTAAGGGCGATTTAATTTTTCATTAGTTATTATTGTAAGGGATAAATAGGGCTTATTATGCTTAGGGTTATGTTATGCTATGAGATTGTTGTCTTGTGTGTTAAGATTAGGACTTGGGCGAGATCGTCTATGTCTCGAATTGTGGGTGTTATGGTTAAAGTTTGGGAGAGATCGCCTAACTCTTAAATTGTAGGTGTTTATCTTTATGTATTTGAGCTGTATTTCTTGGTATTATTGAAATAAAATATTTACTTTCCTTGATTTTGGTGGAGAACTAGTATTGGTTGCTATCAAATTGATATCAAAACATTCGATTCTGGGAAGATTGCGGGCGAACAAAGAGTTCAGGAATTACGACATACAAAATCGTGACAAGGCGTCGCGAGAAACAGTCGCAATTGAGAAGCAAAGACGTGATCATGGTGATTCTATGCAAACCAGGGATTGATACATGGAGGATTGAAAGCGCGATAGAGACCTCTATATCGTCGTGATTCAAAACGTGGCGTCAAAACCTCACGATACATTCAAACGCGAGCTATCTAGCTAGGAAGCAAGCGACGAACCCGCGGAAGCTTTCTGGGATTTTGGGACAAATGACGGGATCAAGCGTTCTCTAGTCGCAAAAATTCACGATACCATTGCAATTGACTACTCGAAGCCACATAAGGTTCACGACGAGCACTGGAAGCCAACGTTGAGTCATGACGAGTGCCCTAGTTGTGTGCAATTGTGATTTGAGGACTGGGAAGCCAACGACGGGATTACTCCTTATTCGAGCTAACTAGGAAGCCACAGTCTATAGGAGTTTCATTTTTTTAATAAAAATTGACTTGGGAATAATGACAACCAAGAAAATTGATGCTTTGAAGGAGAAATTGGAGGAAGAGGCGAGCCAAATTTGATTTGGAATAGAGGAGCGTTTGTCATCATGGAGGAGAGATTTTTACTCATTCTCCTGAAGTAAATGATGAAGAAGATTGTAGAGTTTCATGCAAATCGGCCGCAGACCGTCGTCGAATCAAGAGATGGTGTCTGGAGGGGGTGTGAGCGGCATCAATATTAAGGTTTTTTGCTACATTAAGACAACGTAGTTGCCTTAGGCAAATATGGATCCGTGGGATCGAGCGAAGGAATCAAGAGTGGACTTGAGCGAAGTCACTTGGAAGGAATTGTTTGACGATAGCTGGAACAAACAAAAGCATGTGGAATTGAGCAAAGGAGCAGGGAGTAAATTTGAGAGACAACATTTAGAGGTAGTTACACATGGAGGTTGGAACGAGCAGGAGCAAGAAGAACGGGACGACGTGCAATTTGGAGCTGGAGAAGATCAATTTGAAGGATTTTGACCATGAACATGGAATCATGGTGGGAAGGACCTCAATTAAGGGTTGAAACCAACCGAGCATGTGTCTTTTGCTGCAGTAGCCATTCTAACAAAAGGAGATTCATGGGCTTGTGGAGGGACGGGCGAGCTTATTATGGCAGTGAGCCATACTTATGGAAGAAGAGAAACCAATATGAGTCGAGGATAGGAATCTAACCCACTTAATGGGTGGAATTAGCTTGGGTCGTAAAAATTGGTGAGGAGACTCATATATAAGAAAGTTGAATATGCCGATATTTTAAAGAAAGGATGTTTATTTTTGGGTTTATCAAATAGAAAAGACACATGATTCGAAATTGGAGGAGATTTTAACACCGATCCAACAGCTCCTACAATAATTTAAAAAGTTTTCAGTTTTCATGCGGATTGCCTTATGTAGGAGCTGCAATAATATTGTAGGAGTTGTTGAATCGGTTTTTCCACCTCAGTTGTCACGAAGAACTATAAGGAACACATGCATGAAATAACCCTGAGATTGAGTTGCCCATAGTTTTGTCCCTAAGTACAAAAGGACGATATCGAGAGATTGATCCGAGAGATGTTAGGGGCCAGAATCATACAACTTAGTGTGAGCCCCTTCTCTAGTCCAAGCTTGCTAGTGAAGAAGATAGATGGGAGTTTGCATTTACGTGTAGATTATCGTGTAGTGAATGAGAAAATAGTATCTGACAAATTTCTCATCTCGATGATTGATGAGCTATGGGTTGCGTTGTTTGGGGTTGTGATATTTTCCAATATTGACTTGAAGTTAGGATAACAACAAATTTGGATGCAGACGAAGGTTGTGCGCAAGATTGCATTTCCAACTCATGAGAGTCGTTGTGAATTTCTAATTAAATGAAAATGATTGTTAGATTATGACATTACATGGGATCCATATGACTTGATCCACTAGTAATTTCTTTTTTTTTTCACCATGAGGGCATTGTGTCTTTTTAGGAAGTGAGTAATGTTAAACGGGTTCCTAAGGACAATTTAGTTTTTTATTAGTTAATATTTTGAGGTATAAATATGGCTTATTATGCTTTGGGTTTGGTTATGCTATGAGATTATTACCTTGACTCTTAAGATTTGGGTGTGGAAGAGATCGCTTACCTCTCAAGTTTTAGGTATTAGGGTTAAGCTTAGGGAGAGGTTGCCTACCTCTCGAATTATTGGTGCTTATATGTATGTATTTAAGTCACGTTGCTTGGCGTTATTAAATATTTGATTGCCCTAATATCGATGGAAAACTCATTTGATGTGTGCTTCCAACCATAGGATAGCCATCAGCGGGACAATGAGAGCCTTGTGACTCTCAAATGGTCGTGGCAAGTGGCATGCACTTCACCTACTCATATATCAAGGTGGTCTGTTTACATAGATCACAAGCGTTGTTCAATGGAGCGTTGCATATTAAGTGGCTACAATGGGTGGGATGTTTGTCATTAGTTATTGTGAAGGAGGTTTGTTGTCAAAGAACACATGTATAAAGGAGTGCCGTTTGGCCCCTAGATCGTTAATATTGAGCTTCATATCCATTGCCAACTGTTAAGACGAGGTTGGTTTTGCTGATTGAGTGTATGAGAAATTTGTTTAGAGCTTTTTGAATCATAAAAAAATTTGCCAATTGAAATAAAAAGAGATTTTTCTATTTTTAGTGGTTTTTTTAGTCTTTGTTAGGAATATTTGCTATAATTATCCGTAATAGGCAGTGATTTTTTTAATTCTATGATTGGATTTTGATAAATAATGATTTCATACGATGGTTCAAATTAGTGATTTAAACATCCCATGTTGTAGGAGGCACCCATGTGTGTTAGTGGTGATAAATCATATTTTTAACAAACAAATTGATGGTAATCATGCTACAAAGGTGCAATATATATGATACGAATAAGTGATAATATCTCATCATTTTTATACTAATTAATTCCTCTCCCTGATAGGAGCATTTTGAGATTAACTTGTTAAATGATGAGATGTAGCACATTGATCAATTTTCTTTTTTCAGTTCTACTTTTTCGGTTAGCATTGATCTCTCTGCACCTACCAAACTTCTCTCAACCCAACTAAATTAGATAATTGTCTTCCTTTCCAATCTTTGGAACAATAAATTTCTAAATATCTATAATCTATACTTCTATCTTATATTGCCCATTGTCCCAAATTCATTGCCAATTAAAACCATGGTATGAATCTTCCAAATTTACAGGAATCAGAGTGGCTTAGAATAACTCTCCATAAATGGCTGGATGATGAGTACTGCCCTGAGCCAACCAATTTTAAAATCAGCAAGCTTGCTGCTCAATCATACTATGAATCTCTGATATCTAAGGAGACCGATCTCGGTGAGATTCTACTCAAAATTGTGAGAAGATTGGAGACTATATCCTTCCAGCAAAGCTTCCATGGATCTTTCTCATCAGCAAATGCAGCAGTTCACTTGATTACCCAGCGAATAGATTCTACAGCTGAGCAGTAACATTCAGTAGATAACACAAAAAATGAGAAGGTAATAAGCATTTATTTTTGCTCCAGCAAATAATTATTAGGAATTGATTTCTGGAAACTACTTATTTTTTGGTTTTTGAAATTTTAATGTGCACTTGTGGTATCTCTTTTCATATATATATGATGATATCAACTATGTTTATTGGGTTCATTTGATTGTTGATAGATACAGAAGCATGCTTTAGGAATAAGATAATATAATTTTTACTCATTTTATGAGCGAAAATAAAATCATGGTACTTAGGAGATTTTGAGACTTTTTATTTTGAAATCCATATAAAGTTCTACTTATGTTTAACCATATGATGGAGCTTATAAATTTTGACATTGTTTTAATGCAACCTTATAAAGCTTTTTAAGCTAAGCGCACAGAGTATAGATAAATATCACAGTTTTAGTAATTTGTTAAAAAAACAAGACTTTGTAAGGTTTGTGCATATGCATTGGAACTTCTAAATATCTTACAAACAACAACAACTAACTCTATTTTATTTCAAAAGTTAATATTATAAGATCTTCCCCTCACTTAATCTTGTACATTAATTCGCTTGACCAAGTCTATATACATTTTCTTAAAGCAAAGGCTCAAATTAGTCTTCAGACCATCAACTAGTGATAAATTTAGTCACAGAGTTTTAAAGTACTCCTTTGTAGTCACGGACTATTAAAAATTGATCTAAATTAGTCCTTAGATTGAATTTCATTGTTAAACACTACTCATTAACTTTGAAGATATTTTAGAAATGAGAATTTTAAATGAAAATTTATTTTATTATTACTTTATTTTTCTTATCTTATAAGCTTATTATTAAATAAAATATTTTGTTATTATTCTATTTAGTTTAGTATTAAATTATTTCTATTTTGTTATGTTCAATTGATATATATGTTTTTTTATTTACTTGACATGCTTGCCAACTGTAAACTTTGAAATAAAGAAGAGATTAGCAGAAGAAGAAGATGGAGGGTGAGAGGTAGAACCAGCAATTTACTTCATATATTTTGGATACAATTAAAGGACCATACAACAGACGCATTACATATACAACTCTCATATAGATGAGTAGAAGATAGGAAGCACAGAGGCAATATTCCCTGCTATGGTTTGTTAGGATATTATATGTGTGACGTTGTAATCAGGAGAGGAAGTGGTGGTCCAACCATACAATAAACATAAAGCAATATTACACATATAATGGCATAATTGATTCTAATATTACCCCCCTTCAAGCTGAGGGGGTCTCGACAGTGAGCTGAAGCTTGGAGCAGTGGACTTTGAACCATTGCTTATGAAGTGATTTAGTGAAGATATCCGTTGGTTGATCCTGGGTATGGATATAATGAAGTTGTAGAGCCTCCAGACTGAATTTGTTCTCAGATAAAGTGGTTGTTAATCTCTATATGCTTTGTGCAAGCATGAAAAACTGGGTTGTCGGTGATGGTCATAACTGAAATATTGTCACAGAAGAGAGATGTCGATTCTTCTTGTGGAATATCAAGTTCAGCAAATAAACGACCAAGCCAAATAAGGTCAGCAGTTGCAGCCGCCAATGCCCGATATTTGGCTTTGATGGAAGAACGAGCAATCGTAGTTTGTTTCATGACAGTCCATGAAATTGATGTGGCACCCAATAAGGTGCAGAAACCCTTGACTGGTTTTCAGTCTATTGAGTCTTTGACCCAATCAACATCAAAATAAGTTTGAAGGATAAGGGGTGCTTGCGAGATTTTTAGAGCCATACTAATTGAGCCTTTTAAATAGCGTAACATGTGTTTGAGGAGTTGGTGGTGATAGTCCAGCGGAGCCTGCATGTGTTGGCAAAGATAGTTGACGGCAAATGCAATATCCAGTCGCATAATTGTCACGTATTGAAGTGCACCTGTGATTTTCCTGTATTCAGTCGGATTAACATATGGTTCGTTATGAGCCGGATTTTCATATCGCTTTGCAGGAAGTGGGGTTGCCACTGGTTTGCAGTCTCTCATTGTCGTGTTCTGTAGAATGCGGTGTAGTTATAGGTGCTGAGAGAGATACATTGAGTTTTGTGTGCGATGGACGTGGATGCCCAAAAATATTGAAACTTCACCCGAAGACTTAATTTGGAACGTAGCTTGGAGCTGTTGGATGAGGCTTTCGATAGCTTTGGTGTTGTCTCCTGTGATAACCATATCATCTACATAGATTAATACAAATATTTTATGTGTGGTTGTCAAGGAGAGTGGCAGCGATGGGTCTACTTTGCTGATATGAAATCCTCGTTGGATAAAAAATGCAGAGGTAGTTGTAATCCGTTGTCTGTTGTTTAGGCGATTGTTTAAAGACGCATAGTGCTTTCTTATGTAAATTGTGTCTTCAAGGTTTCAATGCAAAATGACATTGACCACATCGAATTGGAGTAATGGCCACTGTTTTTTAAAAGCAATGGTAAAAAGTGTGCAGAGAGTAGTCATTTTTGCAACTGGGCTAAATGTCTCAACATAATTGACACCAAATTCTTGTTTATAGTCTTGTATCGAGCCACCGGTCCATCCGGATGGAATTTGGTATTGTTAGTCCAGTGACACCCAAGAGTCACTTGATTTGGAGGGAGAGGAACTAAGTCCCAGGTACCCTGTGTAGGGCTGTAAACGAGCCGAGCTTAAGCGAGCTGAGGCTCGGCTCATGTTCGGCTCATTCGAATCTGGCTCGTGTTCAAAATCGGCTCGTGTTCGAAATGACTCGTGAACAATGTGTTCGTGTTCGGCTCGAATTACATTTTCATGTTCGTGTTCGGTTCGAAATTAGCTTGTTAGAATATAAAATTATTTTAATAAATACTTTTTTTTTAAAAAAATAATAATTTTGTCGAACAATTTTTTAAGAACAAATTTCATAAAAAAAATTCATAAATTTATTGATGAGCTCAAAAAACTTTACAAAATTGATTACAAAATTTTATACAAGAATATTAACATTATTTGACAAAAACTTAAAAAATAAGAATCAATTTATTACAAATTTTAAAATGTACTAACTAAAAAAGTGTAAAAAAAATACAAATAAAATCTTAAAATACAAATCTAAATCTAAAAATAATTGTATTGAACATTTAATTCTTCTTATATTTTACATACAACTCAAAGAAATCTTCCAATGCAGGGACTTCAACAGGTTTTCTACTTCACTGGCAGATTCATCTCTTACTATCACCTTGCCTCCTGGCCTCACAATCCTATCGATCTCAGACATAACTGGAACTCTGCATCTGAAATCCCAGGTCAAATATTTTTATTTTTCTGTACATTTAAATAAATCTATGGAAAATTTACATTTTGCACGCAATTCTAATGTATTTTACATTTCCTTCAGCTTTGAGAACAGGTGGTCTACAAGGAGAAATAATGTTTTCAAAACATCTCCAAAGCTTTGTGAACATGTGCTATTAAAGGAGGACAAATAATCAGAAAATATTAGCCATTTATAATGCTCCATGATGAATTTATAAGTATTAACAAAAATTCTCATAATATATCTTTCTTTCTAGTTATCTAAATCATGTATAATTCAAAGAGAACTTGAATGAGTTTGGAATGTTATGGTTGACACCCAACTGGATCTAAACGCCCGCGATGACACTGATTTGCCCGAAACTGCAATGAATTTCATCTGAATGGTTTCAGCTGGAGCTAATTTAGAAAATATTAGCCATTTATATTATTCCATGATAAATTTTCTAAGTTTTAACAAATACTCTCATAATAGTTATTTCTTTTCAGTAATCTAAGTCACTTATAAATAAAAAAGATTTGAATTCAGTTATAAACCTGCTGAATTGATAAAGTACATAAATGCAACAGTATCTCCAAAGAGATAATGAACAATTCAAGAGCAAGCTCAAACCTCCCATTAATTGAGAAACCTTCAATCATTGAAGTCCATAACAAAACATTAGATTTCTCCATACGACTGAATACTTTAAAAGCTCCATCGGGATTTCCACATCTGGAATAAATTTTGGAATACATTGTGACAAGAGCAGAACAAACCATAAGATTAGAATCAAACCCATTCTGAATGGCATAAACATGGATTGATTGGTACTTTCTGAAAGAAGAGAAGAAGCTGCAACCAGACAACAACGAAACAAGTGTAATCTCATTAGGTCTGATAAATTCCTCAAATTACATCCCAGAAAATAAGATCGCCGATTCAACGAAGCGTTTTGCAGAGGAACTAGCATGAATCATTGAGGACCAAGACACAACATCCCGATCAGGCATTCCGTCAAATACTTTATGTGCACCAGAAGCATCTCCAAAAGACCCATAAGCATGAATAAGCGCATTCCCGACAGATACAAAGGAACCAAAACCAAACTTCAGTATCAGTGAATGCAAATTAGTACTCAAACAATACAGAATCAACAAACAGGCATTTCAAAAGCCTCCATACAACAATTTAAAAGCCTCAAAAAGATGGGCACCAAACTCCCTTAAAAACAGTAAATAATACATCCGCAAATAGATTAAAGCTGATAGTGTTAGATGTGCAAATACCCAAGTGTCAAAAGATTTAAAATGGTTGCCTTCCAAAATTAATAGTAAGAATAATCATCTAAGTCATCATTTCATATTTTTATCCTAAAATGATTGTAAACTTGTGTTGCCTTCCAAAATTAAGAGTAATAATAATCATCTAAGACATCATTTCATATTCTTATCCTAAAATTGTTGCAAACTTGTGTTGCCTTCCAAAATTAAGAGTAAGAATAATCATCTAAGACATCATGTCATATTCTTATCCTAAAATGGTTGCAAACTTGGGTTGCCTTCCAAAATTAAGAGTAAGAATAATCATCAAAGTCATCATTTCATTTCATTAAGAGTAAAATTCTTCCATTGTATCTTCTTCATGCCATACAAATCTTGGTGTGATAAATAAAATATACTTCTTAATTAAAAAGACATTCTCACTTGCAGAAAATGTTGTCTCATCACAAAACACAAACATAATATTGAGCATAAAATGTGATAATTTGATACATTAAGACCAAGTGACATAAAATGTAACAATATGGGGCAGCAAACAGTGAGACAGATGATTCCAGACCACATCATTTCCTCCCTCCCCTCAATTTACTCGGGTAAAGCCACTTCAAGCTGTTCATCTTCCATTAATTCTTGCTGGTAGGAAAGATATCAATATCAGTTTTAAGATAAAAAAATAACATGTACTATAGAAGCTAGTTATTTAGAGTATTACAATAGGTGTTTTCAAACGACTCGTGGAAGATCTAATCCAACTAGACGAGCATATTAATGCACTCACTGTCTTTGTAGAGAGTGAACTTCTGTAATCATTTAGAACTCTTCCACCAGTACTAAATGCAGATCTGAGACAACTGTTATTATTGGAATTGATAATATATCCTAGCCATGTTCGAAACACTTGGAAAACAGATGTTCATCTTACATAACACTTGGAAAACAGATGTTATTGTTTTGAAAAGCTAAAGGAAAGAAGCATAGTATTCTTCACAAAAAAATTATTATCTAGAAGCAATAGTCGAACCACATATGAATCACCAGTGAGTGACTATAACATGCTTCTGCTTCTCATTATGATATGTCTTCATTATGACATGTCTACCATTAAGCAGTCCCAAAAATTCTGATGTAAAAGCAATAGTCAAACCACATAATGATTCACCACACAATGCAAGCCGAACTAAATTTCACAACAAGGCTGATCTACATAACTTGAACTCAAGTATTCATATTATATGTTATACTTTGGTATTACTTTAAAAAATTGCATATATAAACAAGTTGCTAAAGCCGAACTAAATTTCACAACAAAGTTCATCTCCAACAGCATCTTCAACTCAAGTATTCATATTATATGAATCATATAGGATATTGCTTTATAAACATAACTTGAACTCAAGTATTCATAAACTTGATAAGCATGAAGTTAGCATTCATTTTCTTGCTTATAAACATACACAGATTTTGCTCTATAAGCATACACGAAACTCAAGTTTTCATCTTACATAACACTTGGAAAAAAAATATTATTGTTTTGAAAAGCTAAAGGAAAGAAGCATAGTATTCTTCACAAAAAAAATTCTTATCTAGAAGCAATTGTCAAACTACATATGAATCACCAGTGAATATGTAATGCTTCACTTAGATCAGATCTCATATTCTCATCCATAGAATAAAAAAAACAAATATATAAATGCAATATGCGAGACTGCACTGCAATTCTGCCAAAAATCTAAACAAACCTAGGTTTCCCTAAAAAAATCCAAACAAATCTAAAATAAATTTAAGTAAATATAAGATAAGAGGCGAACCAGAAGATAATGTGAAATATTAGAGAAAAGATACTCAGAGATAACACCTAGGTAGCCAAACGAGCGACCAAGCAAGAATACCGAGCAATCGAGCCAACACTGTTATCCGAAGAGATATAAAAGTAGATATTAGAAGAAGAACGGAGACGGCAAACCCACAGCAAACCCTAAGTTGTTGCGGCTATCGACCGAAAGGATTTTCGAAAGAAGAACGAAAAGAGTTAGAGGGAGAGTGGGGGAGGCAGCCGAAAGTGAGAAAGTTCGAGAGAACCGAGAGAAATGGGGAGGCGGGGTTAGGGTTTTTTTTAGATACTATATATGTTATAATATTTTAATTATAAAATTAATATTATATTATTATATAAATATATAATACTTATATAAGTATTAGTAATATGTTATTATTAATATTTTGTTGTATATAATAATTTAAAGAATTAAATTTTATAAAATATGACAATTTTTTTAAAAAATACTAATTAATTAAAATTTATAATATTTATTATGTATATATTTATTTATTTTCGAGTTAAGCCGAACACGAGCTGTTCGCGAACAGCGAGCCAGATTGACAACCCTAACCCTGTGCCTAAAGAGCGTGGATTTTCTCTGACATGGCTTTGCGCCAATGAGGGAGCTTGACAGCTCGGCCAAAGGAGGTTGGATTGGAATTGTGTTGTAGTTGGTGAGAGAGGTTAAGCTTTTGAATGGGTTTTATAGTTCCCGTTGTTGTTCGAGTAATCATGGGGTGGGAAATATGTGTTAATGGAAGGATATTAGGGGTGATCTCAAGGAGATGGTGTGGTGACGGTATGTTGGAGGAGGAAGGAGCGGAAAGTTGAGCTGATGTTGTGTAGTATGGGACGGGAAGGTAAGGACAGAGGTTAGTGGACTTGCTGATGTTGTTGGGTTGATGTTTGATGGAACAAGTAGAAGAGGATTGGTCCACGATTGAGGTGGTGCAGGTGGGTTGTTGGGTATAGTTTGAAACGGAAAATTGTTTTCATGAAATATAACATGCTTGGATATCATAATTTTGTTGGATACATGGTTGTAGCATTTGTATCATTTATGTGTTGGAGATTAACCAAGGAAAACACATGGTGTAGAGCGAGGTGTAAGTTTGTGAAGTGTCATATGCTTTAGCCAAGGGTAACAACAACATCCAAAGACTTTTATATGCAAGTAGGTTGGAGGGTGTTTGTATAGTTTTTCATAGGGGGAGATGAAGTTGTTAGCCTTGGAGGGCATACAATTAATGAAATCGAGGGTTGTTTCGAGGGCATCAAGCCAAAAATTGAAAGGGATAGATGCATCATGGAGGAGCATTCTCATGGTTTCGATAAAGAGGCGATGCTTACGTTCACGACACCGTTTTATTCTGGTGTGTATGGGCAATAGAATTGGTAGAGAACTCCTTCTTGAGATAAGAAGGCTTGGAGAGTGGCATTATTGTATTCTTCTCCTCCTTTAGAACGTAGAAGGCGAATAGTTATTTGGAATTGAGTTTTGATCATTTTTATGAAGTGTATATATTTTCGAATTGTTTCAGATTTATGTCTCATTGGAAATAGTCAACAGAATTTTGAATAATCATCAATGAAAACAACATAGTATCGGTACCCTTGATTAGATACAATTGGGGAAGGTCCTAATAGTGAATAAGTTGCAAGGGTAAATAGAAATGCAAAGACATTGAAGGAAAAGGGAGTTTGTGACTCTTGTTACAATGACAACTTTCACATGACAAAGAAGTTGTTGAAATTGCGAGAAATGGATACTTTTTGGAGATGCGATGAAGAATGTTCACGTGAGGACCCAAACGCCTATGCCAGATGTGAGTATCGTTAATGGTTGTAGCAAAGGCTTTGTGGGATAGTTCCAAGTTAAAAGCGGTAGCCGTAGTGGGGATTGGGCACAACCCTTTCGAATTGTTCCATGAAGTATTATCCGATTTGTTAGGGGAAAAAAATATGAAAGCCAGTTGAATTAAAGAAAATGGAGATATTTTTAAAAACAGTTAAATCTTTGTACGGAGAGAAGATTATGAGTAAGGGAGGGGGAATGCCAAATATTAGAGAGCTTAAGCTTAAGCTCGGGTGTCCGAAGGATACCATCACCGTGATGTTGAACCGGCATGGATTAACTGTTCCTGACGAGTATTTTTTCTGCTCAAGTGGCCGACGTAGTTGTTTGTTGATGAATGAAATCTGATGCTAAATGTGTCGTCGCTCCGGTATCAAGAACCCATGGTGTGGTAGAAGCTTGGAGAGCACTGTTGGATGGTACATACTCAATGTTTGGACTGTGCCAACGGGTAGCGACGGACTGACCACTTTATGACATATTTGACATATAATGAAGGATTTTGGTTGAGATCATCCACCCTTCATTCACTGGTTGCAGTTTTGAGTTCTACCTCAACCACGAGTGGCATTCCAGTTGCGATCACGTTTAGCCGCAAGAGCAAGTTGTGGATTGGCTGCAGGTTCCGCCTTAAGTGTGTCATTTAGTTGATTGATCTTTTCACTACACATTAGAGAATATAATGTATGGTTAAATTTGAGTTTGCATGGCTATTTTAAATGTTTGGTATTGCACCGGTAGAGCATTAATACAAAATCACATCCTCATTGTCTAAATGGCCTCCTGTGGCGGTGATGTTGTCAACTTCCATTTTAATTTTGGCTAGATACTGTTGCATGGAGTGATTGTTCATCGTCATGTTGTGTGGCTCATTTTTAAGTTGGATCAGTCGAGATCTATTAATTGGTTGAAGGCTCTATGATATTGTCTGCCATACATCTTCTGTAGTGGGAAGATGAAGTATGTATGGAAGTATAGCTGGTGAAATAATTGAGTAAAGAGCAGCTGTGAGGTTCTGATCTACAAGTATCCACATAGTGTTGACAGGGTTAAGCAATTGGGTGGTTGTTTCAGAGCCAATGAATCGAGTCGGACAGGGATTGTTGTCGTCGAGATACCCAGGAACCCATTAGCACAAAAAAATTTGATAACTTGAGCTTTCCACAGTGGATAGTTATAAGAGGAGAGCTGTGTGTGAGTAATATTTTTAATATTACTCATCAGGAACTTGAGGTTAGGTGGAATACCAGGTACTTCACATCCTTGCCCATTTTCTGTCGAAGAGTTACCCTCCGTCTCTGAAGCCTGTGACTTTGCCATGGCTGAGGTCGTCTCGCTTGATATGAATGGGAGAAGAAGCTCGCTAGAGCAAGAACTGCTCTAATACCATATATACTTTGATATAAAGAAGATATAAGCAGAAGAACAAGAAGAAGAAGAAGAAGAAGATACAGGGTGAGAGGTAGAATCAGCAATTTACTTCATATATTTTGGATACAATTAAAGGACCATACAAAAGTGGTGGTACAACCGTACGATATGCATAAAGCAATGTTACCCATATAATGGCATAACTGATTCTGATATTACCAAGAACATGAACTGTCATACATGCACATGAACTATTTTATTGATGTCATGCCATTCATAAATAAACACAGCTTTCAATGATATAAGTTCCAAGTGTACATGTTGATTTTTTTTTCTATATAATGAGTTATGTGTAGGTTTAAGAGTGCTTTATGGTGCTATTATTGCAGTATCTGGTTTCAACAAAAGGTGCGACGAGACGGAGGAGCATATGTTGTTATTTTGAAAGTTAATACTTTGATGTGTAAATGACCTCTTTGTAATCATGAGATGTTGTGCATGATTGATTTTAGTGAATCTTTTGGATGTAAACTTGTACACTAAATGTAAAAGAAAGCTTTTTTTTTTTTGTTTTTTTGGGAAATTTACATATGGACCCCATAATTCTTATGGATTTACATATCTAAACATCTAAAGTTTGATATTTACATTCATAACATCTTGGTGCTATAAACATATGCATAAAAAGATGCATTTTGACTTTTAAAAAGTTAGTAAAACTGATATCTTTGATGTGATGTTAATGATTCGAGTGCTGTGAATGTAAATATCAAAGTTTCAAGTGTAAGATATGTAAATATTAAGAAACGTGTGGTATGTGTGTAACTTCTTAGTCTCAAGCTTAATTCTTATAGTATTCATTCTCTTTCGTAAATTTGTTTTATGTCTGATTTATAAATTGTCTTCACCGCATTAAAGAGAGCTCGTGATTTTATCTTAAACATATTGTGGTCTATTTTCTTGAGCATCATAAGTAGCAAAGCAAGAAGTTTATTGTTTGATTTGTTTTTTTTAGAGAAATGGTTTTCTCATTGTAAAAGCATCCTTTTTAGAGCCATCTAGTATTAATTTTGTGAATTGTTTTCACATATTTGTTGGAGACATGATTTCCCATTTATTAACTTTTCAAAATAATATTGGGAGTCATATATTTTGAGATATATAAGTTTTTCTTATATAATTTATAATTAAACATTCAAAATTATATTAATTATCATTTTGTCATGTGTGTGTGTAATTTGTGTGTGTCATTTTGTCACATTTGTTGATGAAAATTTGTTTGGCTTTATGTAAGCTACTGTTATCATAGCTAATATATAATTTAACATATACCAAATTTTGTACTTTTATATACTTTTGCAACATATTTAGTGATATTTTTTCAAGTTAAAAATTAATGATATTTACATATTTATGTATCAAATATATGTGAAAATTTGAGAAAAAAGGGATAATTGTAGGTAATTGTATGGCTAGCTGGTTGTATGTTATGTGCAATTAAGTAAAATTAAGAAAGTTTTTACATCTATATAATTATTCATATTTGTGTTTTCATCAGTGCATTTGATAGGCGCGAATATATTTGAACATGAACAAATAGGAAATATAAATAAATGAATGCATGGAAGGAAAAGACACAATTATAAAATATTTCAAATAAAAAAATAAATTATTGTTTCATGTCATGTTGCTTGCAGTGTTGTTCAGCACACGCCTAGAATGTTAGTAATTCTCAGTTTCTCGTGATAGTATCGTGTTAGATAGACATAATATGTGATGTTTTGTCATGTTATTTTAGTCCACTTAAAATAAAAATCTACACATTTTCTTTTCCGTGTGTTGAACATTATTGTGAATTTTGAGCAACCTAGTGAGCTATGATTTTTTTCATTATTTTATTCTCGCGTTGTTCAGAGAAGAGGAATGATGAGGTTGAGTATGGACAATTGGTTACTATTGAGTAATGATTTGAGATATGTTACTGCTTTAGATGTATCTTTTGTTGTAACGGTGAGATACATATTTTGTTAATTAAGAGATGTTTCAATGAATTTTGTGCACTTCCTTCCATTTGTTGTACTTGTTTTATAGTTGTGAAATAATCCGAATAAAATTTGAGTAATTTTTTGTTATGATATTTTGATGATATGAGTGATGTGGCAATGATTTTTTGTGAACAATAATGAATAAATAAATAAATAAATTTCTTTCTAAATAGATATCGGGTAATTATGTACTTGTTGTGACATCAACACGGGATGTTCTGTATTGATATGACAAGATTCATGCCATTATATTTGTTAAATTATATTTTTGTATAATTATTATTGTGTTAAATCTCTTGAATTACATTATGTTCTGTTATGGATATTATGAGATATACTGTGAAATATACTATGTTTTATTTATCTTATGATTTAATATGTTATAATTGTTATGAATATACTCAATATGTTATGACTTTATAATATGTTATATTGAATTTTTTAAAAAACACTTTGGTGTATACATGTGTATATTAGAAATGTGTTAGCATGAATCTTAGGAAAATCCAACGTACTAATAGAAAAAAATGAACCATGGAAAGAAGATCAAGGGTCGCGTCAACGAAAGACCAAAGGACTCGATTGACCAACTTCAGCTCCCTTTGAACAATATTTGGAGTTGATCGAATGATGGCCACACCTATCAAAGATCAAGACCCATCGAATCAAGAGAAAACCCCAACCCTACTCTCATCCCAACATTGTTAGCCGTCTCACAAGAGTATATGAGATTCTTCAAGTGTTAAAAGATGTCATCACTACACACTCCAAGAACACTCCATATGGATCTCCTATCGAGTGGTAGATAACTTGTCGATATATGGTGATTCACCCTCTGCTTTATAGCCTGATATCATCTTAGTGGCACGAGTTTCTCATCTGATGGTCGGTGATCGACAACAAGACCAAAGTAGTCGATCGATTGACTCAAGCCAACTAAGCGGAGTTTAGATGACTGAAAGATAACCAGAGCCGACCGGCTAGCCCAACTTAACAAAATTGGTTGAACAGGCCTTGTTGATCCAAGGATTACCAAACTCGGTAGGACGAGTGATAGGGTAACTGAGCCATAAATCCATTTATTTTTTATACCTAACATATCCTGTAACACCCTCATAAAAATAGAGACAATCATGTAATTGTACATCTTATATCTATCTCATTATTTATAAATAGAGGGGTCATTTCTGCTGTAAGTGTTTAATCAACCATTTATCAAAGAAGTAGTTTTTTATTGTGCACTCCTCTCTTTCTCTCTCTATCTCTTATTCTATGCTATGTTCTTTGGGTGTGATTCACATTATAGATTTGGATTCAACGTCATAAAAGGTGTGGTGAGTGTGGATCATGCCAGCAAAAGAAAAAGACTACAAGGAGGAGAAGAAACCTACCAAAGATACACCATAGACATGGTGTGCACCAATGAGTTTCTACAACAATAGATTTAGGAGTCGAAGGACCAGATTATGGGCCAGATGGTGGAGGCCATCAGAAAAGGGTTCGCAGAGGGAAGGGAGTAGAACCCCCAATAGGAAATGTCGTTGCACAATAACAGAAGGGCAACTCAAGGCCTGGATAGAATAAGAGACTCCCAGCACCATGACATTGTTAGGTCTACATAGATGGACAGACAACAATTCAGGTATATGAGGCCCCTTGCCGGCTAGAGAATGTGTTTACTTAGTAGGATTTAGTTGTCAAACCCCTAGAGAAATTTGAGATAATGCCACTCAACTTCTATAAATTTTGGACCCATTCAATTGATTACATCGCCTTCTTTGAGTTGATTGTTTGCCTGCTGATGATAGTGATGGTTTGAAGCGTCACCTCTTTTTCACCACAATGAGGAAGGTGGCCCTCAGGTGGTTAAATGGACTGTCGACTGGAGTAATAACCTCCTTTGTTGATTTCAAGAGGATGCTCATGGTGCAGTTCACTAGCGCCCAAAAATCGCAGAAGAGTTTGTAGTCTCTGTTACAGATCAGGCATGGGTAAAATAAAATTCTTTCCTTCTTTGTCACGTGATTCCATAAGGAATTGCTAGAGGTGTGGGATCTAGAACCCACCATAGCATACATTGCCTTAGCCCAAGGACTGAAGGAGGGAACATTTTGCTATGCTTTGGGACTTCAGCGACCGAGAACCCTAGCCGAATTGTTGGAGCTGACCAATAATCTCATTTCGACTGAAGAGTGCAGCTCTACCCCCATGTCAACTAGGGCAAAAGCTACCACTAGTCATATGAAGAGGAGGCCCCAAGAGAAGACAAATGGAGGCCAAGGGAAGATTCATTTCCTTCTACTCGACCACGATAAAAGACAACCGAGCACTCCAGGGATGTAAGTGGAGTCGACGGGAATAATAACAAAAGAGTTCAAGTGAGGTACACTGACCAGCCATCAACTTATTACCATGAGCGATTGTTGAATGACCACGAAGCACCAAAGGCCACTCTATTAAGAGTCTTGATGACAAAGTTAATAAAGGTCATAGAAAATAAATAATACTTCAAGCATGAGCCTCCAATGAGAGCTGGAGCTTTTCTTTGAGAACACTAAGAAGTATTGTGCTTATCACATAGACAATGATCATGATACAGAGGAGTGTAGACACCTTCGAAGCTTGGTCGATGAGTTAATAAGCATTGTAAGGCTTAAGGAGTCGTGGCGCTAGAATCTATGACCTAGAGGCACCTGTGGAAGTAATCTCAGATGAGCCAATGCGGACTAATGTCATCCTTATCGATGGGATAGTGTGAGCAATTTTTGAAGGAGTTGGAGAATCCTGCTAACGAGTCAATCAGAAGAGGCTTTGATAAGAAGAACTTTTTGCGCAACTCTCGACCAACAATTACATTCACTGATACGGACTTGCTCCCAAGAGAGAACCTATACAATGATTTCATCATAATGATGATGATGATTGTCAATTACCAAATAGGATGCATTCTAACTGACAGTCGCAGCTCTATGAACATATTGTTCAAGTTTGTGTTCGATAAAATGAAACTTCAATCCGACCGGTTGGTGGCACTAACTGGCTTACTTTACGATTTCTATGGTGAGAGAAAGGAGGCCATAGGAGTGATTGCACTACCAGTCGCTTAGGGAAAAAGAAATAAGCCATTCTCCACATTGAAGATTGTTGGTTAGTAGATTTTTCCCCAACTTAAAACGAGATCTTTGATTGTCTTTTGTTGAACGATTACAAAGCTATGATCTCTACGAACCACATTGCAATAAATTTTTTTGACGGTGGAGAATTCATTTCCTTTCAGAAAAAACTTGGAGCAGTCCCATATGATATACCTCAGAGCCTTCAAAAGCATCGAGCAAGAGCCGCTCAAACTCCAAAACAAATATGAAGTGGGTCTCGAGACCTACATGGCCACCCATAAAAGTACCTGCAATCGATGTCGGGGGATGGTAATTTTTTTCTATTAAGTCAAAATTTTGATGCTTGGATGAAAGACATGCCTTGGAGACCATTGAGATGTCTTTGCTTGATCTACATCAAAGATGTTAAGAATTTCACTCGATGTCACC